GAAATTAAAAAAAGAAAAGTAAAATAAGTGAAAAATAAAAAAAAAGTAAAACAAAGTGGGAATTTAAATATAATAAAATTAAAAAAAGTTATAAATTAAAAAATAAAAGTAAAGAAAAGTGGGGAATTTATTTGTTTTAAAAAAAATGAAAAATGGGAAGTGGGAATTTTTAATAAAATAATTAAATAAAAAACAAATCTGAAAAAATTCCGAAACTTTTTCTATAAATAGAAGGGAAATGTGAGAAGAAAGAAGGGAAGAAGAAAGAAAAAAAAAGAGAGGAGGGAATGGAGAAAATTATTTTCTTCTTCTATGCTAAGAGAATTTCTACTCGTGTCATTCTTTCTTCTTATTTCTTTCGAAAAATCCAAAGCAATTTATCACCCCGTTTAAGACTCCAAACCCCCCCAAAATCCAGCTTCAAAGCACCCAAAATCAGCCCCAAAAACTACCGTCAAAAGCCAACGCTGAAGTGAAGTCGCGTTAGAGCTCCGTCGTTTGAGGTTCTGGTTAAACGCTATTTTTTTTTTATTTTTGCTGTTTTGGAGCTTCTCTTTCACTGTACATGCTGGAAATTTGAGCAATAAGGATCATCCGCTCTTTAAACTTCTCTTTGAATTTATCATGTTGGATGTTTATTTGTTAGAATATAGTCTGCTAGATTAAATTGATATAAATACTCATAAGTTTGATTACTTGCATAATATCTCTAATTAGTTGTTTGAGGTTTATTAGGTAGTATTGAGTCTTAGTTTAGTTTGGTTAGTTTATAATTAATTGCTAAGTGGGTCATATGATTTGTTTGCAAATTAATTTTAGACATCATTAGTTAATAATGTTAAATGACCCACATTTTGGGCCCAATGCAAGAAGAATAATTAATTTGTTTTCGTGTTTCCAATAAACATGTAAGCTAGCTCTCCTTTATAAATTCATATAAATTCAAATGACTTTCATAATACCTACGACATTCACAATAACCTCCATAATTTAATAGCTTCACAAATAATCTCAAAGTAGTTTAGCAAAATTAACTCATGAACATTGTAGTTTGCTTTAGGCGCGATTAATTTTAAATCATCATGACTATGGGCACGGCTCCCGTGGCATAGTTATGAACCCCAAATTCGAGTGCGCGTTTCACGTGACTCGACCTTACAACTTCAAATCAATTAATAATAATAAATAGGTTACAAATCACGGGTACGTTTCACGTGACGCAATTTGCAATGTGTACAAAAACAACGAGTGCGCAATATCGCGACTTGTTCAAATAAATTCCATAAATATTAAAAGCAGTTAAAAAGTAAAAATGAATAATAGGTTTTAATTATGTAATAAATCATAAAATTAGGCCAATTATTAATAGTTAAGCGACCGTGCTAAAACCACAGAACTCGGGAGTGCCTCACACCTTCTCCCGGGTTAATAGAATTTCTTACCCGGTCTTCTATGTTCACGGACCGTAAAATAAAGTCAATTTTCTCGATTTGGGATTTTAAAAATAAACCGGTGATTTGGGACACCATAATAAATATTTCAAGTGGCGACGCTGAATTAAATAAATAATTCTATTATAATTAATGTCACTTTAATTGGAAAAACTCCCTATCCCTCGGGAAAAAGGAGGTGTGACAGTTAGTATAGAGATTATTTTAGGGCTTAGTTGATGAGTTGGGACTATTTTGTTTTTTCTTCTCTTTGTAACGAACTTTAAAGTCCTTTTAATTTTAAATATTAAAACTTCTTACTTAGTTCATATAAGGAATGATTTAAAAATATTTATAAGGAAAATAATTAAATGACTATTCCTAATTAGTAAGAAATTAATTAAATGTTATTCATAAATATTAGAAAAATTAATTGAATGACTATTTTGTCCAGTGTTAACTCTATTTTAAAAGGATAAAAAAGGCGAACGATATTTCACTAAGGGCCTTCGTGCTTTTAATATAGTACTCCTATCATATGCATTATCTATTTACCCATAACATTTTCAATTCCTTCTTTTTGCATATATTTTTTAATTATATTATATAAGATATGTTTTGTCTTTAGTTAAGTGTTTTACTAATTTAAATATATTATTATAAATTTTATAATTAAATATCAATAAAATTTAACTAGAATTACTTTTATGAATTTTTAATAAAATTTATTGTTACTCTTTTTAATTGTTACTTTAATATTAAGTATATTTTTAAGTTTTACTTTCTCTTTTATTCTTTATTATGTGTGTGTTTGTGTTTATGTATATATGAATTTTTATTCTTATTGTTGAAGTATTTTTTAAGTTGTCATTTAAAAAATATCTAAGTTATAAATATGTAATATTTTAGAAATTTATTATAAAATAAACCTCTTTTTTTAATTAATAATTTTTATATTACTGCACTAACTTATATTAAAAAGTTTTTAAAAAAATAGAGACTAAGGCTGATAAGATCGACTAATTCCACAAGATACATGTTATCTCTCACTAGCTACTGAAGAATAAATTATCTTGAAAAATAAAATAAAAAAGTAAAAGACAATCTGGGAGCCACCTTATCAATTTGTCTACTAAAAGTATAGGAGTAATTCTTTTCATTAATTGAAGATTTTTTAATCATGTTCTCCCTCTCATTTTTTCATTATTTCTTCTTTTTCTTTTTAGGTGCGATTAATTAAACCGACCCATCTACAGTGGTAAAAAAAGAAGAGTTTTTTACACACTTGATCCTTTTTTAACTATTATTTTAAAAAATAATATCATTTATTGTTTATTCCCTAAAGAACACTTTTTTTTTCATTATTAGCATATTACAAAAATTAAGCCCAACATTCATCTTCTTCACTCCATGTTTTAAAATCTGATGCATATGTGAATGCCACCTAAATTCAAGATGTATTGATTTATACATCTTTTATACTTTGTATATCAAGTATCACTTTAATTCAAAATGTATTTTTATGTATATATTTTTTGTATATTTATTTGTGAAGTGCCATCTTATTTTAAGATGTATTTTAATGTATATTTTAAATATATTTTATATGTAAGTGCCATTTTAATTCAGTATATGTGAATGCCACCTAAATTCAGTATATATATATATATATATATATATATATGCCATCTTAATTAAATTTAAGATATATTTTTTTATGTATATTTCACATGTCTAAGTGTCATCTTAATTGAAGATGTATTTTTTATGTACATTTTTTGTATATTTTATATGTGTTAATTCAATATTTTTTTTTTAATATATGTTTTGTATATATTAACGTATATTATTATCGAAGTAAGATCTTTATGTTAAGAAAGGAAGAAAGAAGGAAGAGAAAAACTTAAGAAAGATAATTAAAAAGAAAACGAATGGAACAAATTTAGAAAATATATTGGTTTCGGCAGAAAATAAAATTAAGAAGACGAAAAAAAAGAAGGAAAGCTAATAGATAAAGAGAAAAAAGGCATGATTTTTGTACAAAGAATTATTGACTTTCCATTCAAATGGCTTATGTTTAGAGATTAATAATTAATATTTCTATTTTAATGGAACGATGTGCTACAAATATAAATATTTTCCTGCCACAACTGTAATATTGGAATTAATGCTACGAATTTGTTATATTTCTTTTAAATTGTGACAGTTATGTAAAGTTCCCGATAAAAAATAGTTTATAACTTGATTCTGGATCCAAAGTAGAAATTATCTCATTCTTATTAAATAATAAAAAATTTACTCACCAACTAAATAAATACATGCATACGTCTTTAGATGCACTATTATCATTTAACATGGTTAATTCGTGAACGTTCTTTCCTCAATTTTATCACTTGATAAATTAATATAATTTAATATAAACAACGAAGGTGGATAATTTTTTTTCCTCCGAACCCCGTCCCTTTCCATTCCCTATCTCCTTTTGGGATATGTATCAACTTAGATTTAGCCACAATTAAAGGCTGAAAATTTTAGCATCAACAAAAAATCTTTGGATTAGATAAGAACTTGCAGTATGAAATGTCCTAATAACATTATTGCTGGGGCCATTGACAACAACAAGAATCCATCGACTCCTTTTTTTTAAATTCGGAGACATCTAAAACCTGCTCATTGATGACGATGTAAAAACCTATAGCTCTAAATATTTTATTTAATGTAAAGTTGGTGGGTAAAATGATTAGAACCTCACTTTAATAACAAACCTTTGCAGGTTGAATAATAAAATAAAACATATAGATAACTACTTTGTTGAAAAAGAGAAACAACTTCATACAAATACCTGCTTTACGTGCTCTAACAGTATTTTTTTACCAGCTTTTTTTGTGTAATCTTTTCCTCTTTTTGAAAAGAAAACTGCTTTTAAGATCAAAATATATGTCTGTTCTTTGTCTTACGTCACTTCGGCTACGAATATAATTTCAATTCAACACATGCCCAAGTCAACTTCTAAATTCAAGAATGGAAGATCACCGAGATATATATCCCCATTAAATCACTGGTCTAGTTTTTTTCTTTTTCACATAGTTAATTTAGATAGTGGAAATGTTTAACTAATCAGCAGTAGTTGAACTCATTGAAAATCGAACTCGTGACATTTACGGTAAGCTGTTCTCAATGCAGCATTACCTTAAATTTGAGTCTCTGTCTTATGGTTCTAAGTTGAAACATCACATTTTCTGAGGATATAAATACACAAGTTTGGAAAACTATGAGGACTATCTTGAATTACACATAAAAGGACTATTTTGAATCTATGTCCTAAGTTAAGACTTAAGAGACAAAGGTGAACCTTTTTTCTGAATTTTGTAGTGGCTTTATTTTTCAAATGAAATGCTTTATAAAATATAATAATTTGGGATCATCTCCACATAAAGACTAAGAAAAAGGACAACTATCAGAACGAACCAAAATATAAGAAACAAAAGGACAACAATCTCTCGACAAAGAATTCGTTAACTTTAAGCTTCACATCACAAAAAAGGAAAGGAAAAGGACATCAGCAATAGATTTACAAGAATATTTCAGAAGAAAACGTATCAATAAATCAGTAAAAAGGTTCTGTCCCACATTCCAAATACATTACACATATGTTCTCTCCATCCTTTTCCATTCCCATGAAATATTTCCCATAAAATAAAAATCCAATCAATCCAACACTAACATAATTTTCAAGAAACCCCAACAAAATATTTAATAAATATCCCAAAACTCAAAAATTAAATTCAATATCAACCACAGAACCAAAAAGATAACATGTAGTTCTCAATCTGAGGGCTTGTTCTTGGACCTGTAAACAAGCTTCTTCTTTTTAGAGCTTTGGTTGTCAAATGTGATCACCACTTTTCCTGGTTCTCCTGCCTTGTAGGTGTTGCTTATCACTTTTTCATTTGCCCCAACTTTTCTTGATTTCTCTATAATGATTGTGTATCCACCTTCAGCAGTTGGTACAAATTCAGCTCCATAAGATACATCCCACCCTGTCACTCTTGCTTCCCAAACCAAAGTGCACTTCTGCAAGATCCAACATTTTCCCACATTCAACACAATAAAGTTGAGAAATCCAACAAATGAAATGCAAATCTGGCTATAGTACAATTCTATAACTAGGAGTCAAGCGTTTAACTTCTATGCACTAACAATATTCAACAACAATAACTAACTCTCTATAATAAGCCTAATTATCAATATTACATTATCAGTGTATATAAGTTAAATCCTTCAAGAAATACTGAACATACCTCAGTAACTGGGAATTCAATGGTGTGTTTAGAAGCTGGCTTAATGATGTCCTCTGTGGCAGGTTCAGCAATAGTGAATTCCTGTTCACCTTCCTTGCTAAGTCCACCATATTGTACTGGTACTTGCTCAGGGGTTATGTATCTGAATTTTCATCACATTTATTACAAATCAGAATTTGCTCAATGCAAACAATATAAGTTTGAAAGTCATCAGAATAAGGGGAAAAAAGGGGCAAAATTAGAGTACTGACTTGAAAAGAGTCTCAGCAGATCTTGAAGGACCAGCAAATACAAACTTGCTCTTTGTCCTTGTAGTGAAAATTGCATTTATCATCCTGTAGTAAGCTGGGTACCACCATGGAACATTGATGAACACCTTCACATTATAACACCCAAATCAATTTAATGTCCATATACCAACATCATATAACAATATAAAAATATCAAACACAAAAGTTTTTATCTTTTACCTTTTTAATCTATCTAAAAAAATGTTACCTTTATATATTTAGAAACAATTTAACTTGAACATTTCTCTTTTATCCTTAAAAGAATCCATAATGAGATGGATTTATAGCTACACAAATATCTAAAACTTCAAAAGTTTCAAAAATTTTTCTTGGTTAAATTCGATGCCTAGTCAAATGGTATCACATGGACGAATGGGTGTCTTTCTTTTCATTTTAAAGGGTTGATGCTCCAGCCAAAAATCAAAGAAATTGAAAGGGAAAGGATCATTAATAGTAACTCAAAGTACTAACTTTGACAGGATAACTACAGTACTTCAACAAACAAGAAATGCACAGACACAAAATGAACTTTGAAGGACAGAAAAATACCTGCTTGGCAACAAATTCAGGGTAATTATCCTGAAGCAATTGAAGGGCACGATTGGTAGCCTGGCGAAGCTCTTTCTTGAAAAAGAAGAGACCAGGAGAATTCTTAAGATCAATGACTTGAACAAAAGTGCAGATACCATCAGGGCTAAAATCAAGATTCCTGATTGACTTTTCCATGAACTGAATTCTCCATCTGAGGAATTTGGTTAACTTCTCCTTATCAGCAAAAGTGTTTTGATACAATTCCTTGTTTTGGAACTCACCAAATGCATTGTAACAAACAGGGTGACCTTCTTTGTCCAAACCATGATTGTACACAACTTTCTCAAGTCCTTGACCTAATTCTTTCTCATCCAAGAGTTCATCAATTTTGAATTCTTTTCTCCATGTAACAACACTTTTCAGCATGGTAAAAGCTTCTTTCACCTTGAAATCTCTTGCTCTTAGAAATTTGAGAAGGATGACGTCACTTCTCTCGTCAGCTAAAAGGGATATTCCCCATATGGATACTTCTTCTGGTGGTGGTGGTGTACACTCTGTTTTTGGCTCCTCTGCTTCGTCCGTTGCTGGTGGCTCTTCCTCGGCCGCCGCCACAGCAACAGCCGCGGGTACTTCGACAATTGTTTCCTTGATTTCTTCAGCTGCCTCCACCTTCTCCGGCTCCGATGGTGTCTCCGGCGCCGTTACAGGAGTTACTTTCGTTTCCGGTGGAGTCACTTTCTCCTCCTTTTTCACCAATTCAACTTCCACCGTCTTCGGTGCTGCCTCTGCCACCGGCTCAGAGGTTACCTCTGTAAACGGCTCTGCCTCCGGTGCCTCAGCAGGGGCTGCGTTCTTCTCCTCCTCCTTCTCCTTGGCTGCCAGAGGTGACGGCGGAGGCGGAGGGGAAGTGAATTCGTGTGTGTTAAGGGCTTCTTGAATCAACTGTTTGAATTCAGCCAGTGCTTTTTGTTCAGGATTAGGGAGTTCTTCAACCTTGTTACTTTCTTCCTTAAAGGAAGTGGATTCAGCGACAAGGTCCTTCTCATCCTTATCACCCTCAACCTTGGATTCTCCGGTGACCGGAGCAGCAGGTTTCTCCGGTGACTCCCGCAATTTTTCCGGTTCAGGTTGAGGTGTTTCCATCACTGTAACATCAGAAACCACTACTTCTGGCGTCGTCTCTTCGGCCATTTTCTTGGTTTCTTCAGCCATTTGATTAAATTTCAGATACCCAGAAATGAAAAGGGCTTAAAGATTGGATTTTGAGAAGTGGGGTTGAAATCGTGGAGGAAGAAATGCTTGGTAATGGTGAAAATGGTGGTAATGGGTAAGGGTATATATGTACGTATAGAACTGAATTTGGGGGTGGGGGGTGTTAAAAGGGAACAGTCTGTCGAGGAGTTTCAAAGTATGAGTTGACAGCTCGTTACCCACAGTAAAAATGGGGTCCACGACAACCTCGAACACCGCTAATTCAGCCTATAATTCTAACTTTATTTTTTCAGAGAGATTGTTTGAAATTGTAATCATTGTGCCACTGAATCTTCTTTGTATTATCCTAGTTGGCATCAGTATGTATTTATAGAGTTTTATTAAATTTTTCTTTCATAGTTACAAAAAATATAGGAGTATGTATACTGATTATCAATTAATCATATTCATTTGTCGTTAAGTTGTTTTACTTTCATAGATTTCTTTGCGCCAAATTATTCGAGTAACGATTACGTGCTCTGTATAATCGTGGCTGATGGCACAAAGTTAGCCGAGGCTTATTCATCATATATAGTTATTGATTCTTCTCCGGAAAAAGAAGTTCACGATCTGTAGGTCTTCTGCCTCCACGCGACCTTGCTCTATTAAACTTTCGTCCATGGCGAAAAATTTCCCACTATTGCCTTCTATAGGAGTCTATGTCGTATCTCAATTTCAGTGTGAACGATCATACTCTTTGATCAACTACTTATTATCTTTTTGATAAGCTTTACCTCATCAGCTAGCTAATCAGAAGCAAGCAAAAGAATGAGGAGAAAGTATAGCCCCAACTTGGAAGTATTTTAAAGAGTTATTTTCTTAAAACTTTGATCTTTATGTAAATTTATATAATTGCAAAATTTGGGTCCAACTAATTCTGTTTTTTTTCTTCCTTTGATTCCTTTGTTTCTATTGAATTCTTCAATAGATGGTTGTAAAATCAGGATCATTATCGGGCCAATAATTTGGGAAATATTCATGTGTTGACATTATACACTTCATTTAGGAGTGACGGAAAATTGGCGGCCGATTATGATGAGCAGCACTTCTATAATGAAAAAAAGATTATAGATATTTAAATACTCAAAATCTCTACCAATCTTAGATTATTAATCCTCTTTTTGTTAATTTTTTTTTTTCTAAAATCGGTGGAGGCAATGATAGCCATTCCACTCCTATCCTACATACCATATTTCTATAATACTAGTTTTTGGGTACGCGCGTTGAACAATAATCCCATCTCAATGAGTATAATTATTTTTTAAAATCACATAAATATTATATTGATAGTCGTGTTTGAGTTATAAAATAAAAAAATTAAGACAAAACTATAAGTGAAATGTCGAATGTTGATCCTATTTAATTAATGAACAATTCTTAACTGTTAATACTGTATAATCAATTTTCCTCTATTTTTTATTTCTTTAAAGCAATACTTTTATAAGGTAAAATTTTAATGGACTTTAAAGTCCTAAATATTAGGAATTTCAATCTTGTTCAAATAAGGATAGATTTAATTATTTTTTAATTTAATTTTAAAGTCCTAAATATTAAAAATAATAATTTAATTACGACTATGTCTAATGTGAAGTTAATTTATAAAGGGTAAAAAAGAAGAACGACATTTCGCTAATGAGCTTCATACTTTTAATATAACTAGTTTAGTGTACGTGCGTTGCACGTGTACCTCGCGTCAGGTAAATATATGTGCAAGAATAATGTGTTTGACTACAGATACTTCATTCCGATTTGTATTTTTTTCTTATCAATTTAGCATTGATATATTTGTGATAATTTCTATATAAACTAATTTTGTATTACATTTTCTTTTGTTGTAATTTCAAAGGGAAAATATTTAGAAAAAAAATATGAAAAATTATAGTTTTCGAATAAGAAAAATGAATCTAGTCATCTAAAAAAATTTAGGGTTATTCTCACCATTTCAATCCTATTTTGTTCCCTTTTTTTGATTCGTCTGCTTATTCTTATATCAAAAAAGTTTATAAAACCAAATTGGCATCAGAACAATATAAAACAAATATCAAATATATGAATAAAGTTACATATGAACATAAAAAATAGTAAGCAACATGGAATTTAGATCAATAACTAAAGTGTGGATCATAGAATAATAGGATTATGTCATCATGCCAATAAAAAAAATTAGAATAATTTTGAAATACATGGCACATCAAAAACAATCTAAAAGACTAAAAGAATTCATTCCTACTCACTTTGCGCATGTACCACATATTAAGAAGTTTAGAACTTTAAAAAAAAAATTATATAAATATTATTAAATTTTGTATACCTAACTGCAATTGTTAAGTGTCATTTAAAAAGTATTTTTAGCATTGGATGTTGATTAAAGAGTATAATAATTATAAATATATCTAATTATAGAATTTATTATAATATTTTATATTTTGGTACATATATTTTATACAGTTTGAATCTTTGATTAAAGGCTAACGACTTCTACTAAATAGTTTTTTTCACTTTCATTTTTTAGTTAAAGATAATTAAATTATATAAAACTAATTAATTATAATTTTATACAATGAATAATTCAAACCTACAGCAAATAATAGTTATCGTTTTACTTATTCTCTGTGAATATTTTCATTTTTGGTATTATATCACGTAATTAAAATAAGGAAAGGATCTAATGCGCAAGGTTTAGTTGAAATATTAAATAAATTTCCAATAAGATGTATGTGTTTGCATTAGTCTTTTTATTTTTAAAGTAGCTTAAGATTGGTATCCGTTACTTTCAAGGTATTGCGATTCAAAAGAATTTTGAGATTAAATCCAACACTATATAATTTTTGTGGTGTGTTATTTTAAATTCAAGTTAATCGTGCTTTTTGTTTGGTTTTATAATTATATAAATCTGATATCTCCCTTTTTATCTAGTTTCAATTTGTAAAATAAATGCTAATATATGAATGAATAGACATATTTACCTAAGAACCAATCATTTAAATACTCAAACAAAACAAAAAATCAATCATACATATTATTATCTAATTGATGTAACATAAATTTGAAATTTAAAATATAGCTCATAAAAGATGCTCTAGTTTTACCACCATATTAATGACGTAAAGTTTCCATGTACATTTTACATTTTTACGTCGACATATTGCACAGTTTATGTTTGGAAAGGATTTCTATTAGTTATTATTTTTATTTTAATTGCATTGAAAGTCCTAAATATTTGGACTTCTTATATAGTACTATTTTAAATAAGGAAGGATTCAATATACAAAATTTTAGGTGATTATAAGATCCTAAATATATTAGGTTTTATAACGTCCACTTTCTTGTAACATTTCTTGCAAGAAGAATACCATGGTTCGTCTTTATTCATTACATCTTTTATTCTTGCATTAAATTTAAAATATGTATCCTGCAAATAAATATAAAAAAAATGGGTTAGATAGGACACTTTTAAAAAGTATAAATATTTCTGAAGTAGTTGGAAGAATTTACCTCTTTATTGTCAAACGAATCATCTTTGGTGTCCTCAATCTTCACTTCCTGAGTATTTTTCAGTTGTATACTTGGCAATAAACTAATATTTATGTTTTTTGCCTTCTTGTAGTCGTGCCTGCATATTGTGTAATTAGTAAATAATAATAACTATATTTTACTAAGATTGCTTAAACTTTAAAAAACCTAAGCAAATATTATCATTTTTGGAGAGCTACCGCCTTTTCAAACTTTGGATTTATCATTATACTACTAATATATGTAGTAGGTATTGAAAAATTTCCTTCACAGATAAAAAAAGGTTAAATATAAAAAAATAATTCTACAATTTACAAAAAAGTTCTTGATATATTACCTCTATATGGTGTTTTTCTCATATCACATGCCGCAACAATAGATTTTTTCAATCAATTTTTGTAGCACTTGACCGTCTATCTCTGAGAAATCATTCCATAAGGTTACAGTCTTTCTATCAACCCTGAAATTTATAATTAAATATATTAAACTATTAACATCTTAATTACAAAGAAACATTTAACATATTGAACTAAAACTTTCAACTTACATCTCGTTGATAAGCACTATCTCTCTTCATTTCTTTGCACCTTCTCCCATGGAGGGTTTAACATCCACTAAAATTCTAACTATATCTAGAAAGAATATCAAAACAAATATATGTATATTATCCAAAAATTAATAAGGCGAATAGAAGTAAAATATTGTTTGTATATTTAGTGAAAGATTACTGGATGAAATCTAAACAACTTACCAAAAATTATTCCATTGGTGCACTTTGATGCCTCGTCGAATGAAATAAAATTATTTGAAAAATCAATGGTCGAAAAGTGACTATTGCTTTCTTCAACTAAAGTATTTTTCTTAAATCCAATCTCAAGCTCCTTGCGCACTGATTGAAAATTAGGATTAGCACTATTGATGCGTCCGTTTATGATATAACAGATCTTGTTTTGTTGTAAATAATTTTTTCACAACTCAATATAACCATTGAAAAGTATAGCGTTAGTTTTTGTTCGCACTGTAAGTTAATATGATGGTTAAAACTATAATATGAAAAGACATGAAATAAAATATTGATATAAAATAATAATTACCTCTTCGTCAACTAATGTCACAATTTTTCGGGTGCCTTGATTTATTTTATTGTTGAACTCTTTTACTATTCCACTCTCAAATACTAATACTCGTATTACCCAACATGAATCATATACTCTTAGACTATTAATTGGGACACATTGGTCTAACAATTCCTTTTCACTGGCCATTACAGTTGTACCTAAAATAAAGCATGCATAAGAGTTTTATAAGTTATCAAAGTGACTAATTCAATAATTGATTATTTTTATGATATAAGGAAGATTGTTTACCTGAACGGATGTAATTGTTGAAATCTGAGTGATTCAAGCATGGCAATTGCAATAACGCAAATCATGTAGTATTAATATAACACATAATTAAAGTATATAGTCTAATTTTTAATTCTTTTTAAAACAGACAACTTGAGCTGGCATAGCAATTATAAGTATTATTAATTATACAACAAAGGAAAAAATAATACTAATATTTAAGTAATAAGACTTAGATCGAATGTCT